CCCTTGAAATCATGTGATCATGTCTAATCCTACTTTATCTCAACAAAAGGTTCGTCAAGGTAACCATAGATCTTGGTCCAAATCGGGCCAGATCCATCAGTGGAGGAACTTAGGCACTTGCAATAAGGTAGCTCACATTGGGCCCAGCCCAAGGGCCAGGGAATTAAGGCTCTTATAATAAGGTAGCCCATATTGGGCCCGGTCATTGAGCCAAATTTTGGGGCCATGGCCATGTCTTTTTTAAGGCAAGGGCCGTGTTAGGCCATCCCTCACATCGCGAGCCCCATCGGAAGCCTAAGGATTGAAGAAAAAAACACTAAGTACATATGATATACTGCCACCGGATCACACTATACACCTACTTCCATACGGCGACTGGATCACACCATACACCTACTTCCTCCAGCAAAAGACCTATATAAAAGGATTTTCATGATGCAAAAAATTTAAAGCGTGTCCTAGAAGGGAAATGTTTTTTTTGTGACCCCAACAACATATAAGTAAGATGTGATCCCATTTCTTAACCATTCGATCTGAAAATCAAATGGCTACAATTGGTCATACCCCAATGTCGCGCCAAACACTGTTTTATTTTTCATTTTTTTTATAAAATATTTTGAGATGGAATTTTGGATGTCCCATCATAAAATTAAGATGAACCTGAGAAAAGAAAAAAAATAAATAATTTTTATAAAAATAAATGACCAAAATACCCTAAAATTTTTAAGGCTATTCTTGTAATTTATATCATAAAAAATATCTTATTATTATTTTTACCATGCACTCCCCTATCAAATCTATGCATTCCCCAAAATTTGTTTTAATTGATTTATAAAATACAAACTAAAAATAGAAAACTCTGAGCCGGATCAAGATCTCACACTTTGTGACATTGTGACTCAAGTCTTCCCCTCCTAGAATACCAGATAAAAAAGAAACCATGCTCAGTTTTATTTTCTTTTTTCTTGATGGTCGATCATTAGGCTCTTCATCCTTAAAATTACGGGCCCAAAAAATAATCTAAGACCAGGCTTCGCACTTCAACAAATTTGACCGGTCCATTTTAAAAAGGACAATAGTTTCATGCGGGCTGGACCGCATTTCTACATATACGGTCCAAAAAGTGTAAAACATCCCTATTTAAGATGGATGCAAACAAGTGTTCCATCTAAAA